ACCTGACAGTGAAAATTCTAAATTACTGTACAGTGGCACCCAAACTGAAAAGGAATGATTCATCATGATCAGGATTTGGTGAGTGGATCCCCCATCCTCTAGTCACCCTTTTGTGGGAGGAGTATATAAGGTATTTTCTCCCTTCTTTCCGCATGCTGTTGTGGTGTAACTGAAAGCATACTCACTTGACGCATATTCAGGAAGTTTGTGTTCGAATCCCGGTGAAGGCATTGCACATTTTTCATATTACAGTATCGATATAACATAATGACTCTAAAACCTAAAGTTTTATTGTACACTTTAAAGGTAAATTTGATTGGTAAAATTTCCTCTTTATGCATTAGGGCATTATTTGACTCTGTAATGCGAATATCCACATATTAGGAAGAAAACTGCATCTGTTTTGCGTTTCAAACCCTTGCATCAACAAAAATTATCTCATTGACTCTTCAGAGAAGCTGCAATCAGTGAAAAACTGCATAATGTGTATAAAACTGAACTAGGTATTTAGATGGTAAATTTTTCTGCAATTTCGATATTCATGACTAAGGTAACATATGACATAACTCTTCCATCAGCAACAGATGAACCTTGGATAGATGAATTCAAATCTGAACATTGTGATCGACTGATTGATGTTCTGATTGCTGCTAACATGACGGGAAGATAATACCATATCAGTATGGAGATATACCATACCAGGGTAGATATACCATATCAGTGTTCCTGAAGGAAGCTACCGTCTGTGGTCTAAAGTAAACTTTAGAAATGCTTGGTAATACTGACCCCACAGAGACAAAAGTTAATAAAGAAGGATGCCTTCATACCAAACTGACGAATAAAGAAGGGCATTATGAATTAGCTTTGCCATGGAAGGATGACCGTCTTCTTATTCCATCCAAGATATAGCCGTGAAATAATTGGAAACTACAACCGAAAAACTTGTGTTAGAGAATTTGGTTCTCATGTACAATGATATTTTTAAGGAATGAATTTCGCTAGGAATCATTGAAGTTGTATCGGATAAAATTGTATCTCATGAACATTGTCTACGTTGTAGACCTATTTATAAAGCAACTGGGGACAACTGAGTATATCCGAGTTTCGATGCATCGGCCAGAAAGGTTAACTCTGTCCTTTTATTACTTTTTAGAGTTTGGGCCTAATTTGATAGGACTGATTTTTAGACTTCGACATTCAGGGAACATGATTATGGCATTATTGCCAATATCGAAAAGGCTTTTCTGCAAATTAGTACAAGACCTGAAGATTGAGATTACCTTCATTTCTTGTAGTGAAATGATAGCAATAATAAGTTGAAGATCATGTGTCACATGAGGGGTACTTGAAGTAAAACTTAGTCCCTTTCTGTTAGAAGCTGTGCTTGGCTATCTCCTACAGAAATAGCTGGAAAATCTCAAATACAACAAGCAAATTACTAACAAACTTCTACAAGTTTTTTATGTGGATAATTTGGTAGCTAGTTTGAGTAAAATTGAGTAAATCCAACCTTTTATTGATGAAGTTCATCACATAATGGCCATCAGGAAATTTAATTTGAGAAAATGGCAATGTATTGGAGACCAGGGTCCACATCACGATTGATTGATAATGACCGAATATTTTTAAAAACTGTCATGCTGGCTCCTAGATTTTGCTTGGTACATTAAGGGAGCATTACTAGATTCTAAGCACAAGAAAATCTATAAGGTCTGGTGTATTCAAATATGTTGCTTGCGTGAGTTATGCCAAATGAAATCTGACTGCTCCAAGTCCTTCGCTACCATCAAACAGGGTAAAGGATTCTACTGTTTTTTGAAATAGTCATGATTGACATGGCAGGTCCTTTACATTTAAAGGCAGGAAGCAAATCTTGGATTTGTATTTACACGTGTGGCATTTGTTGTGCGGTGTATTTTGAACTCTTGTTATCTCTGAATACAGTGACATTTACCCAGAATTTCCATTGATTTATTGCACAAAGAGGCAAACCTTCACTCTCGTCTATTGTGATAACTGCACTGATTTTGTGGGAGACTCTTAACAACTTAAAATTCATGAATAAGTATGAAATTTTGCTGTTTATTACAACAAAAAGTGATTCAATGATTTTTCAGTCTCCCCCCCAGCTGTTCCCTATTGGGGAGGTTTTGGGGAATGGTTGATAGGTGTTTCGAAGCAAATTCTAAGGAAAGTACTACGAAAGGCTTTGCTTTGTAATGAAATATGTCAGCCATTTTATACAATGCAGAACATATTGTTAACTCCCGACCTCTGCCAAACCTTTCAGAAAAAGAAAGTGAATTTATTGCATTATCGCTGAGCTGCTTTGTAACTGTTTTGGGCATACTGATGTTTCAGACTTCAATCAAATTGCTGAAAATTCTCTCAATAAAAGGCTAAAGTATCAACAAAAATTGATTAAGAATACCAGGAATGGATTTAAGTCTGAATATTTAGGACTTCTAATTCAAAGAAATAAGCATCAGAAATGTATTCGACAAATTAGACTCGCTAAAATTGTACTGATAAGGCCAATACAGAAAATGTTTCCTCTTGAAGTCCATACAGCAAGCAGTACTTGAAAACCCTGTGAGAAATTGAGGAACTGAAGATATGCGTGATGAAAATCCTAGTGGAACAAAGACTTACCTACCGAATATGAAGAAGCTTACAACCAAAAGTGATAAAACAATAAAGGCAGAGACAACTTGGCCAAACTTTAAAACTTTAATGTTTTCCATTTGTGTTAAGTTACCTCTCAACGCCTTAGGTAGGAGGATGTCACATGCAAAGTTTTATTTAGCTACATGTTTTAACGATTTTCTTTTTCTAATGGTATTTTACTGAGTTTATGAGTGTTTTGTGTTAGGAAATAAGAGGTTGTAATCTCTTTTTCTGTATTTTTTTTTAAGTAGTATTTCTTTGGATTAAATACACCAGGGTTTCTTAAACTTTTTTCAGTCGACCCCCTTTTATCACTAAGATTTTTTCGCGACCCCCCATTAGGATTCCATAACATTTACAAAACTTTGTGGGACCCCATAAGTATTGTGCAAATCCGACACATGCATGAGTAAAACTGTCAATTTTTTCACTTGTACTGTAATATACTATTGCAGTTTTAGCTCATTAACTTTAATTTCTAATTTTAAGACATAGAACATTGTGAAAATTTTAAATGTGATATAAAGATAAGAAATGTGATATAAAGAAAGGTAGAGAAGCATTGACAGAGATACAAAAAATTAATAAGGTATATAGCCTTGTGTGACCAAAATGCAAGTTTAACAGTAATTTTCCATGCATTGTATTAGATTGTTCAAAAGTTCCTGCAGTAACTGTGTTAATGACTGGGCAGTGTTTGTTATGGCTGCTGTGATGCAAGTCAGCATCTCACATATGTTCAGTTGGATTTAAATCCACATAATATGTGGACCACTCCATTTGCTGGATTTCTTCTCTCTCAAAATAACTGATCTCTAGTTCAATGAAAGCTAGCATTATTGTCCATCAAGAAGTTATGATCAATAGCACTCTTAAAAAACCTGATACAAGATCAAGAATCTCATCTTTGTATATTCCAACATTCATAGGGACACTAATAAAATAGTGTAAGTCAGTACGGCATTCAAAATTAAACCTGCCCGTGCCATGAATCCACAATTTTTGTATCATTGCCTTCTATGAATGGTTTCAGAGTTACTGCATATATTTTGCTCTCCCAGCTTGTAGCATGTTTGGAATCATTCTCCTAACAAAAATGAAGACTCATCAGGAAAGAGAATTTGTTTCTAGTCAGTGGTACTCCAGTTATGATGATGCTTTGTGCTATTGCAACCAGGCACATTTTGCAGCTCAACTTAATAGAACGCAAAGCATAAGTTTGCATAGAATACTTTTGTATGCAGCTTATCACTTATATGTCTGAGTTCCTAAAGCTGTAATACACTTCTTGCAAACTGAGTTGATGTTACTTATCTATTTATTTTAGCAATGGTTGCTAAATAACAGTCTTGAGAGTATGTTAAAGCTTGGTTTTGACTTTGGCCTGGTTGTTTGCATGTATTAGTAGTGTACAATATGCTGCTTCCATTCCACGATCTATGAAATGTATTCTTAAAGACATGTTGCACCTTCTACACATGAAAATATAAGCAGCTACTTGGGCAGTTCTTGAAATTAGTATATGGAGCATCCCCTTTGCACTCCTTTCCACATATGATGAAAGAGTAAGTACAAAAATTTACATATTTCTGTTCAGTGATCTTACTGGACTATGTGGTAACATTAAACTTGAGTTATCAAATACCTTTCATTGGACTTAGGTCAGGTTATTTGAATTTGATAAAGCATAGTAAAGCTATCTGCCTAAAGGTAGGTAGGTATGCTTTCCTGAAAGACTTTCTGGAGAAACAGGCTCATATTTATGTTACACATGGGGAAATCCAACCATGCAGCCAGCCTACTTGCCTGGGATTGAACCCAGATCAAACTTCCAATATCCAGCAAGATTAACATAAAACTTTTTTATGGTTTTTCCCTTTAAATCCTCCGATAGTGCATGAAAATTAATATATATGTTTTGTGTTAGTGCTAGCATATAGAGATAAATCATAAGAGAATTTGATATCTAAATCTGTAGGAAGTTCTTGTGTAGCTCATTGCTTTTTTAAGAAACTCATATATACTGTCTTTTTTTACGATTAAGAATGAAGTCAGTAATTAAGTTCATAAGTAAATTCTTTCTAACTTAGTAATAATGTTAATGAAACTTCTTTCAAGAAAATCCGCTTTTGACTATGTGAAACTTGTATATTTTTTATTTGTATATTTCTGTTTCTTTTTGGAATTTTAAGTCTTTGTTCCTTTAATTTTTATAATATGTCAGAAGCTTTGTATCACCAAAATTGTTACAACATTTGCGTACTTTTATGAGGAAAAACATTTCCTATTTCTTTATAGCATATTCCACATATATTATGTGTTGTAATATTTAAACTTTTCCTTCCCTGCTTATTCCAGGATGGATGCTACTCTGAAGGAATTAACTGGCCTAGTTAAAGAAGTAAATCCTGATTCTAGACGCAAAGGCACATACTTTGATTTTGCTCTTGTTTTCCCTGATGGCAGAGGACCTGGTTATAGGATGAGAGATATTGGTACAACTATATCAGGGCAAAAAGGATTAGAAGACAGCAAAACTTTGTATGGATGCCGATTCAAGATTGGTGATTATTTGGATATTGCTATATCTCCTCCAACACCCAGAGGACCTCCTCCAAGCCGACGGGGACGATATGTGCCATATTAATGTTTAATCATTTTTATACTCATCAAAATATCTGATTACATTTTCTTATTTCTTTTCTCATATACTTATAATTCATTTGTTATTAAACATTAAAATTTATACTTTCTTAATATTGCACTCCTTATATTTATGAAAACAAGTTTAAACTTTGAGGAAAGAGGTGAGCATATTTTACAATCAGCCTGATATGAAAAAGATTAAGATTTTTTCTGTCAAGTTATTGACATCCTGTGTAAAATGTATTACCATTATTCAGAAACACATACAGTCGCTAGGGTAATATCCTGTACATGTCAATCAAACCAAAATCGTAACAGAATAATGTTTAAAAATCTATAATTTTTCAAGATTGATACTTAAAATTGCTTTTAACACTATTGTAAGGGATTGGAAAATACGATCATGCAGTTTCAGTAAATAAACTCCACCAATTCATGTTATGTGGCAAGAACAAATACTCATCATAAGAGTAATAAAAGCATACATTTATTTACAGAAAATGCAAGTTTGTTACAAGTTGTGATTGTACATCCCATTATCCAAGGACACACTGTAGCGAGTCTGCTGCAACTAACATTCTTCAACCTAAAGTTAATTTAAATCAGTTAATGTAATTTTTAAAGTCTATTTCCTGAAAAAAAATATTTCTTAAACATGTATGAATTCTACACAGCTAAAATTGCATTAATTACAATTCTTTACAAATAATAATTTTATAAGTTCAGTCTCTTAAAAGTTTTAATCTCACAGCCACATGCAAATCGTTTTGGTATTGTCTCACAAAGTTCTTTTACATTTTCTGTTGCCTTCTGGCTCCCATCATTTTTGGACTGAGCTGTCTTCTGTTACTTCAGCTACATCTTGATGTCCAACAATTTCCAATGGGTAAATTCTTTGGATTGTTCATAATAATATACCCAATATTATCTTGGCACATGCGTTTCTAACTTGCCATCATGGCCTGGGATAAGCTCTGTTCTTTTGACAAGTAGCCAATCTAAGCATTTTTTATTAACACTTCCGATTAATATGATGTCATCAACATTCCAAGTTCTCCACAAAACCCACCCACCATCCATTTCCCTTCCTATATACATAATATGAATATGAACCAGTTTCCAACTTTTAGAATATTCTCTACGAACCCAGCCGATCTCTGCTCTCTTCCCTACGTATGTAATGTGAATGAGAGTTTTTTTTTTTTTTTTTTTTAAGTTATGTACTGATCTATTTGTCCCATCTCCCTCATTACTAAACAGTTAAATCTTGTGTGTTTTACCACTCAATCTCTCTCTCTCTCTATTTGCTTCCCATGCAGTATAGTGGTTAGGAGAGCCTACTGTGGTGCCAAAGGGCCGGATTTGATTCACGGAGAAGGCATGGTCTTAACTGTTTGTCTCTTTTGGAGTGTCCATTCCTGAATAGGCAAGTGCCCACCGTTGATGAAGAAAGCTCTCACTATATATTTTGTATATTTTTTGTTGTTTATTTCAACAAAACAACAACCATTGATAAGTTAGTAAGAGTGTTGTTCACAAACTCTTTCGAATGTTGAGTTAACTGGAAAATCATCGAGCTCATAGAACGAATTTTTTAAAAAGAGAATGCTATTAAAGAGAAATGAGTGTTCCCTTCCTGGTTATGTTTTCAATGTAATCTTTCTCAATCTTACTTTTCAACTGATGGAAAGAGAAGTGTTAGATCTGTTTAATGCATTAACGATCCTAGTTCTATACATTGGTATGAATTTTGCATTTAGATAGCTAATTTTAGTATAATTATAATTCAAATTCCTTTATTTCCCTGTGCAATGCAGTGCAAGATAAATTCTAAGAGAAAGCTATGCCCGAAAAGTAAAAATAGAGGAGCACATGCATTTAACATTGAATAAATGGATATCTTGGTAATTTGTACTAAATTTGAATAAATGCCATTTACCACTATGTTAGCTGTAACAGTATTTCCATCCTGTTACTGGTTTCCAGAAATCTTGAGAAGCAGAAAATGCTAGAGCTATCTTGTGCAGCCGGTTGAAAACTATTTAGTGGGAGAGAGACATGTCGGCTCAGTTGCTTAGTTATTACTATTGCGAGTTGTAGTTCCACGTGAACTGAGATAAATCTCTTTAAATGTGCTGTGCTTTGTGTTCTATTTAAAGTTTTTAGTAGTTTGAAGTATAACTACTAATTATTACTGTGTGATATTGTGAACATAAGATATTTAAAAGACATCTCTTTTTACCATATGATTTGAAGATTTTTCCTTTTATCCTGCTCTACCTGTTGCTAGAGCATTTCTCAATACCTTCATCAGCATTACAGGTTCATTTCAACAATTCATCTGATACAGTGTGTTTGTGCATTTTGGATTTCATTCACCATTCGTCTGGCACATGATAACCTTCAAGGTTTTGTGCCATTAAAAGTCAACCAACCTCTTATCGCACTTGTGCATTCAATCTATTACGAACCTATACGCATGCAACACTTTTTGGTGCCAAATGTGGGACTAAATGCCAGTGACATGAGCGATGGAAGAACAATTAAGGCAATTGGTGGCAGTCTTTGCTGCGTTTTAAGAAAAGTTGGAAGCTTGTGAAGAATCAGTTAAAGAAAGGTGGAAGCTGGTCAAGAACCAGTTAAAGAGGAGAGGAAAGCTGTTCAAGAAACGATTGAAGCAGATCAAGAAGAAATGAATAGAGAAATTACCTGCATAAACAAATCTGAGGCTATGGAAAACAGAACAGATGTGATTGAAATTAAAGTTGGACATATTGAAGAAAAAGTTTCTTTTGTCAAAGCGCAAGTACAAGAGGGAGTTTCTGCCGTGGAGCAACAAATCGATTACAGAGTTTATTCTGTGAAAGAAATAGAAGAGAGTTTCTGCCATGGAACAACAAATTGATGACAGAGTTTCTGTGGTCACCCAAAAAATTCGTAACGACAGCAAGGAGCAATTCCGGTGGTTTTAAATTTTTGCCTATGCCTGCACGTCTCTCTTTGAAGCTATCCACATTGGGAAAGGGTATAAAGACATGATTTTGTATAGTGGCCGATGCAAAAGGATGGGATTCCCGAGCTAAAACCTGTCATATCACCCTTTTTTGAGAGCAGATGCAGCGGCTATCCTTCAGACTTTTCCCGAAAACCAGAGACTATGAAGCTCTGTCCGGCGCTTTGGAACTGCTCTTTGAGGAGAAATCTTTAAAAGGCTACAGTAGGCTTCAATTAAACTTCCCTCAACAGAAGCCCACGGAAACACTCCAGGAGCTCACTACGGATGTTGAAAGGCTGTCCCATCTTGGCTTTTCGGAATGCCCGACAGAAACAACTCCCTCCAATGTAATCAAATAATGTCCCTGCAATACTTCATCGAGAGCATCTGGAATCCTGAAACACAGAAAGCTCTACAAATGGCAGATGTCAAGGACTTAAAAAGCGCTCTAATGAAATTCGAGGCAGTCCAGCAAGCAACTCGTAGAGACCGCACACAGTCAGAGCTGCTCAAGCCAAAGGATCTAATGGCTGCTTGTCTAGACGATTTAACCAGGCAACTCAGTGCCTTAAGACAGAATGTTAGTGAGAAGAAACCGACCCTAAAGTGTTGGAATGGTGGTGCTGAAGGCCCCATACGACGGAAGTTAAGACCGTGCCTATCAAGAAAAAGGGAAACTAAATAGTGGCCATCTTGTAGGGCGGAGATTGTCCCATAATGAAAAGCCCAGTTTAAAAACGCTTTGGATTTCTGCAGTGAGTGGCAACATTAATGGACTTTTCATCATGGGACATATCAGTGGAGTTCCATCGACGCAGGAGCTAATGCTACCATCATTCAAAATGATTTGGCTTGACAATTCAAAAGTTTGGACACTGCCCCGCATTACTCTCCAGACTGTATCTGGTGTAAATTTGACATTGATGGAAAGTTAAATATAAACATCACACTTGGATGTACCGCCTACTTTCACCCTGCATATCTGGAGGATATTCCAGATCCTTACATACTCAGGTTGTCCGTCTGAGTTTAAGTCCTGAGTATACATAAAATGTACTATGCCAAGGGATGACAAGTATTAGTCTTTTTTTGCAGCACACCAAGGAAAAAAGATAAAACGATTAAAGCTCCACTAATGAGAATAGTGAGAATTCTAGAAAGAGTATGAGGGTATGGAAAGAAATTTAACTGAAAAGTGTAGCTTTGAAGATAAAGAGGGAAGAGTTCAAGACTAGCCGTCAAGCAGAAATTTTACCTGATTACTTTTCCTGAATGCAACGTGAGAATAAATATAAGACTTCTCAGTACAAGTGGCAGCAGTGGTCCCCCAGTTTGGTTACATCACTCAGAAAGTCTACAGCTCTGCAGAAGGAAATCACTAGCATGGAACATGCACGACCAAGGTATCACTTTTAGTTCTTTGAGGAATACAAAATTTACGCGCTCTCATAAATCCATTGCGTATCCTGGAGAATAAGCCTTTGACATATAATTGGGGGCTTTTCTTTCCTCAAAAGTCTCAACCTCTGTGCAAGGCTTGAGAGCGATGGAAAGACAGGCTCGCATTCAGAAGTTAGAATCGGATTTTTAAGACATGTTTACTATTAAAACAAAATTTCTGTGTTAAAATTGTGGTTCACTTGCATAAAAAAAGTGCCTGAGCCCTAATTATAATTTATCTCGAAAACTGAAAAGTAGCAGAGCCAGGCTCCGACGCAATTTAAGCTTGCTTATACACAAATGCCACAAAGTGAAGAGAAATTAAATGCCACCAACCTGCACCCCTTTAATTCTCATTCTAACTTTTAAAATAATACAGATTTATATGAATACAGTGCGTCAAAAAAAAATGTATGTGGCTCAATTTTTTTTTGTTCATTCTTCAAAAACTCTTATGTGACCTCAATAATTTAAAGAAAAAATGTTTATATCTGAAAAACAGCAAGTTCTGTATTTTAGTAGAAAGCCCACTCATGGAAATTATTATCCCGAATTATATGACTATAACAACAAATCCTTATGCCACTTCGCTTTTACAAAGGTCTTAAATTTAATCTCAAAAGAACTAGGTTATAAAAGAAGCATGATTTCATTATTCTAGAATGAAAATGAATTT